TTTCAAAAGAGTTGTGAATCTTTTTCTATCAAATGTATAAATTAAAAAAGAACACTTCCAAGTAGAAGTGTATCTATGAATCCAATTTGAGTAAATCCATTAAGATATTGGAAAAAATGCAACCTTAGATAGAACTTAATTTATTACAAAAATCCTTGAAATTTTGATCTTGTTTCATCAAACTTCTTCAACATACTAATCCTTGCTTCTCTCGTATTTGTAGAAGCAAGATTTTATAGATTTGGTTGTAGGATTAATCTACTTGCTTCTTTCAACTACATAACTTCTTGGTATAGACTCTAAACTTCTTTTATAAGTATAGGAATAGTACTTCCATGGTTGGTATTAATAATGCATGAAATTTCCACCTTAAGAATATTGATAAATTCATGAAGATCTGCAATAGTTGAAAAATCTATTCTCACTTTTTCTAAATGTAGTATCTATGATTTTTTCTTTTCTTTCAAACAACTTAAGAAATCTACAAGTCAAAATAGAGGAGGATAATTTGTAACTTCTAATATCAAATGAGAATTCTACAAAAAAAGATAATTTATTTTTTTAAGAAAAAAATCATTATTAAAAAATAAATGTTAATTCAAGGTGGATATTTTGCAACCTTTGATACAATAATAGAAGTTAGATAATCCATATGAAAGTAAAAAATAAATAAAAAAAGATAAAAAATTATAAAAAATAAAATAAATATATTTAATAAGAAACTAAAATGGCTATTACTAAAGACTAAAAAAATAAAAACTCTTGAAATTAAATTAGAAATAAGAAAGAAGTTGATATGAGTGAAAAAAGCTACACTCTTGTCTCTATGTATACTATCTTTCTAAGAGCTATATGACAACATTCTATATGACTTTTAATACATGTCTAATTTACAAGACACATATTTTAACTTATAAAGCAAGTTTCTTATAAGTGCATCACATTTTAAGCTTATACCACAAGCTATTAATTTGTATGATACATTGTCGTAATACAAGAAGTCTTGCTTGAGAATGCACTAGGTACCTAGCTGTAAAAGATAGAATAGAAATTATAATAATAAAATCATAACTCTAATAGAATATTAAATTAACTCTAATTAAACCATAACAATACTAAGCAAGCTTTAATCAAATTCAAAAGAACCTTAAAGAAATTATAAATGAAACAATAAGAATTCTTAAAGGAGTTCAAAAAATCCACAATAAACCTTAGAAGAATCCTTAAGAAATCGTAAAAAAATCTTAGAATAATCACAAATATATCTTAAATAAATTTCAATAAAATCCTAATTTAATCCTAATTAAAGGTCTAATGGAATTCAATCAAATCTTAAGCCAAATCCTAACTAAATCCTAAATCTTAAATCAAATCCTAGACAAATCTTAAACTCTAAACCAAACCATAACCAAATCCTAAATCCTAAATCCTAAATCTTAAATCAAATCCTAATCAAATCTTAACCAAATTCTAGATCCTAAATCAAATCCTAATCAAATCCGAAATCTTAAATCAAACCCTAATCAAATCCTAATAAAATCCTAAATTTTAAATTAAATCCTAACAAAATCCTAAATAAATTTCAAATCCTAATTAAATTCTAATCAAATCCTAAATTCTAAACTTTAAATCTTAAACCAAATCCTAAATCATAAATCAAATCTTAAACAAATCTTAAATCCTAAGCCAAATCTTAATGAAATCTTAAATCCTAAATCAAATCCTAACCAAATTTTAAATCTTAAATAAAATCCTAATCAAATCCTAAATCTTAAATCAAACCCTAATAAAATCCTAAATCCTAAATCAAATTCTAATTAAATTCTACTCCTAAATCAAATCTTAACTAAATCCTAATCAAATCCTAATCAAATCCTAATCAAATCCTAAATCCTAAATCAAATCTTAAGGTAGTTTAGAACTTCAATATCTTAAGATTAAACCGTTGATCTTGTTGAAAATTTTATATACCTCTTAATATCTTAGTTACAAGAAAGTACAACAAATTTGAAAAGAATTGCACTTACCAAATGGAAGAAAAATCCTAAAACCAGCTCGGATGTTGACTGGTCTCCTTCTCCAACTTTGATGCCGATCTTCTAGTACTAACATTTCTCTTTTGCACCATTCAATTATTCTTAAAATTCTTATATATGTAAGAAAACAACTCTACTACTCACATACACAACTTTCACTCCAATCCAACTAGTAGATTGCAATGAAACTTAGAAACTCTCATTAGACATAAAATTCTACTTTTCAAGACTTTGACCCACTTAAACCTCAATAATTCTCAATTCATTTGTTAAATCAAGCTAAAATTCACAATAAATATTAAGCACAACTATAACCATTAATTTACAAAAATTCATCTATAGATCTGCTATAAAATACTTGAAATTGCCCAAAATGTCAGACATCTTTTATTTCACAAAAATCCGAGTCATCTAAAACAATCTTGACTTTGTCAAGCTCTTACAAAATCATTACAAATCCATATCACAAAAAACCAATGCTTATAAAATCTTATCAAGTCTTCTCTCAAATCCCATTCTCCAATTTGCAAAAGAACCTTGAAATCGCCGTAGATGTGTAGTTTTGTGCCTCAAGGTCTGATTTTGACCCAGGTTAACAATTGGTCCTCTCCGAGTATCAATTCTTAGGTTCTTGAGGTAAATTTTGCTAAAATCTACTCTTAACTTTCTCCTAGAAATGCCTATATCATTTAATTTTCTAATTTATTTTATTTTTCTTTATTTATGACCCTACAAAGTGAATAGAAGGCCATTTTGCAAAAGAAAATATTAGTATTTTTTAGTTATATTACCTTTTTGACTATTATCTATATTTCTTAGATAATTTGCTATAATATTTTGAACTAAGATCTTTTAGAATATAATAATTTCCACACTCTTTCACCTATTAGTTGTGGTATATTACAACAACATGGCTAACTTGCTAGCCAAGTTTCTAACCTATCAATCACTTATAGAAATGTATAAAAGAAAAAATATATCTATGAAGCTTTTAAGAAGTTTTTTCACAAGATATTATCAAATTAATCTTTTTTTTTATTTACTTCTATATATTTATTTTTTAAAGTTAATTATATGTATATTTGTGATAAAAATGCAACAAATAATCTTCTATCTAAGATACATGGCCGACTATAATGTATTGCTTTTGCAACTGTGAGAGACTTGTAAATTGATCTATTAATCTAAAAAATAAGACATAATGACATTGAGGTAGGGATAAAAGCTAGAGTAGGTCAAATCAATTTGTTTTATTGAAGAATAATATTTAGTATATGAAATGGCATATAATGTGTTTTCTTAACAATGAATATGATATATATGGTTGAGTCTCATAGAACAATGATCAATTGCAATGATTTTCTACAGATTGCTCATATAAGATAATAGGAATTTAATTACTATTCAATAAATTGGACATATTTCTAATACCATTATAAAAAAGGTGGTATTAGAGTTTAAATGTGGCTTGGACCTTTGTCTTTTTAAGTAATGTATTTATTGATGCTTGCTTTATTTGTTGTCACCAAGATCCTTTCTTGTTATGTGTGAGATTATAATATCTTCCTATATTAAAGCTTCCAAATGACAATTTTTTTTTTATGAATCAAGATACCTTTAGAAGAATTTTTAATCATGTGCTTTTAAGTAAACTTCTTTATAAAAATACTTTTAAAGAACTATATTATACCTATATACATACATACACCTATACATAAATATATAATATAAAAATAATACGATGAATTACAATCTTTTATAATAATTATATATATATGTATAATATAACTTATAAAGATGATACTATATATATATATATATATATATATATATATATAACATTAAAGCATAAAACTTTGAAGAAAAAAAAACATTGTCAATCGTATTTACATATCTTAAAAAAACTTAACATACATTATATAAAGATAGAATTATATATAAATATATGTATGTATGTATGTATGTATGTATTTTTTTGATTTGATAGTTTAGTTTGAATAAGTAAAAACATTGAAAACACAAAAACACCAAAGAAACAAGGAGGATTTATTTTAATACATACTTTCATAGGTTAATTAATTTATAAAAACAAAAACAGTGTTTCAAATATTAAAAAATGAATAAAAAATAAGACAAACAGAAAAAAACTAAATGTTGAAATTAAATATTAAATTATTTTTCCTTCAAAAAATCATTATTAATAAATTAAAGCAATAAAAAAGATACTTGAGATTGAAGAGTGTCAGGTTAAAGAATATTTTTTTATCTAGCACTCCCTCATATTTCTGTTATCAAGAACATACAAGGAGACATAGTTAAAACATTACATCAAAAACACAAATGATTTTCATTATACAACCTCGACATCCATCAACACACCCTTTAAACTATCGTCACCACTGAATATGAACAAAAAGTACAATTCAATCATTATTCCCTTAATATGCATTCAAAAAACAAAAAAACAAAAAACAAAAAACCAGGATACTAAAATTACTCACAATCCCAAAAACTGTCGCATGTTTGCTCTAGAATAGAACTTCAAGAAAGATATGTACCAGAGAAAAAAAAGCAGAATGAAGAGGAAGATGCCAAGATAGATCTCAGTGCAGAATAATATTGTCCAATTTCTCACCAAATTAAAAATAACTCAAGCCACAATCAGCCAGAAAATTAGCTTCCAAAAGACATGAAAAGGTCCAAACACAAAAGCCTCTCCACACTACAGACATCCACTTGGCAGCGAACCTCTGAGAACTACCCAAAATTTAGAAGGCGATCGGATGAACAAAGGAGGGGGACGAAGAGGGAAATTTGGATGAGAAAAGCGCCGAGCGAGCGGAATCGAGAAGGAAGGGGGGCCAGAGCGCGGGGCGGAGCGAGGGATCGGAGCAGTGGAGATGAGGGAGGAGGGAAGACGTAGCGCGAGACGGGGAGCGATGGCGCGCGGCGGAATTTAGAATAATGGCTGTGCTCTTGCATCCCTCGTGTGCGCGGGCGCTCCTCAGTTTTTTCAGGGAACTGACTACAGGCCCGTCTGAGGAAGGAGAGCCATGCACCTTGCATGCAATGGTGGCATTCCCATGGATCACTCCCCTACGTGACTGGTGGCCCCCTGGGACCATATTCCCTGCTCTCCTGCCCTTGCAAATTGTGAGCCCCGAAGTGGCGGTTCGCGCAAACCTCGCTTTGCGAACGAGCGTGCAGGCGTGCGATTGCCATTGCCTGATGCCCCGCGGTCGGGAGTCGCAGCGTCGGGCGCCGGGTTTCGTACAAAGGGGACGCTGCACAGAGGTGCCAGGGTTTGTTCGTGTAATGGAGTGCAGCGAGATGTGGCGTGGTTTGAGCCTACTGATCCCCGCCTCCGTCGTTGCGTTGTTGATACTGGTGAGTGCTTCTGCTTCGAGCTGGTCGGTAGTTTGTGCAGGTCCACGGGTCTGTAGAATTTTCTCGAGTAGAATGCGTACTCCTGCTCTTTCAGACAGTCTACAGTGGAAAGTCGTTTTTGAAGGTGAAGTTTTTTCCGATTCTCTCTCTCGGGAAGGACTTGTAGACATAGACTGTAGATTCTTCATGTTATGGAAAAAAATCACACGCTAGTCTCTGATATCATGCTAATGGCACGTGTTCTCTTCAACTCATTGACCTGCATTTTACCATCATTTTGAGTGAGACCTGCATTTTGTTAATACCAAGTGCAGGGAGAACGGGCTAGTTATTGTGACTTCGTTTATATATTTGATTGTTTATTTCTTTTTTTATTTTTTTTATGCAAAGAAGGGAATCCATTTACTGCGTTTGCTTAGAAACTCACTGCTGCCGCTGGTGCTCCAGGTGGTTTGCAATATCGCATTGGATCTAAAATGACGGTGTAGAACAACGTAGGGTGGCAATGTACTTGTTCCTGCAATAGTTTCATAGCATGAATTCGAACTGCAATAGATTACACTTGCAGCAGGTCCTCGAGCATGTTCCAAGCGTGGTGTAACCCTTAGTAAGAGTTCTCGTCGTATCTATTGGTTACTGATTGATAGTTTTTATTTTAATGTAGGTTACTGAGCGTAGTTCATTGTCATTGCATAGTTAACAATAGTATTTGGTCTTTTGGTATCTGCAGCCACGAAGTATGAGCCTTATGCAAGGAAGTTTCTACAAAATGTCATGTATATGACGCACCGAAAGGCAGGTTCGGGGGCTGTGGACTGTAATCACAAGCAAGGAATATATTGTACCATTTCTGGTGGGTTCATGGAGCGCTGGAAGATTTCAGCTATTGAATTCCAAACCTTACAAGTGTAGAACAGTTGAAAAGTATTGCGGATTTAATTTCTTCTGGAGTGGTGTGAACGGATCTCGTTGATGTCATCTGGCTTCTCCTTGGAGAATGCTTCTCTGAGCTGCGAGGAGCACAACAATGGAATCCATTATATACCCCTGAGGGTAAAAAGCTGGAAGAATACAGGAAAAGTAGCGTTCGTAAACATTGTCTGTAGGATCGGCAGCGTCAACGAGATTAAATTCGGTAGAGCAATCACCAGCAGTGGCACTAGCAAGTATAGCGTCAACAACACTCCTGTAACAGTTTCGGACCTTGGGGCACATTTTACCAGCAATGTAGATATTGAATTTGTGATGATAATTTATATTCGAGGAGCCATTTGTTGCATAAGATTAGCCTACCTTGATATCATTATTTTTGGACGTTCATCCCTTATAATGTTGGTGAAGAAACATTACTGAATTTTCAACAACAGTGTGTACATTTCTGTGAAGACATGAGAGACGTAGAGGAAGGGATGAAGATGGATTTTAATGGAAAGATGGAATCGTTATCTGCGGATATAAAAAAAACAGCTTCAGAGTGTGAGGGATTTGATCAGTTCGAGAGTTTACGTGGGAGAGGGAGGTTGCGATCTCTTGCAGCGGTACGGATTACGGAGGAATCTGATGCGGCACGGAAGGCTGCAATTGAAGCTGCTGACAGTTGGAAATTTGTTGATAAGTCGAGGTGAAAATCGATCCAATCTTTGAGAGTCTGTAGGTGAAATGTAATCTGTAAAGAGGTTAAGCACAATTTCAATCCTTGCCTCCTTCCGCAACCGCAACCTTAATAGTTTGAGATATACACCCGAAAACTTGAAGGATTTTCAATATGCATGTTTAAACAGTCACTGATTTCTAGAATATTTCCTACCAAGTACTTGCGAGTAGGTTCTTGTGCCGTTCTCAGTAATCCATAGTTTATTTTCTCTCCCCCCTCCCAACTGCTTCTACAGAAGCATTGAAGTTGCATTGACGACTCAAGTGATGTGCTGCAGCTTTCAGCCTGATTCTCCTGTGTCCATAGTCGAGGATGGTGATGTTCCTTCACACACTTTGAACATGGCCCAGGTTGGAGATCGCACTATCTCCAAACCATGCTCGAATTTCGAGGCTGTGGAGCGCAAGAGGCTGGGCTTTCCCAGTATTGACATGTCTTCCGTGTACACGTACAACGATCAGAGAATTGCCGAATTGAACAGAGAATACCGAGAAATACTGGAAAAACAGACACCATTCACAGGAGGCGGCGCAGAAAATTTCGTTGAATCTGGAAGCGAGGATGTGGAGCTGAATGAATCTCACCGGAGAAACAGATATCTGCAAAGAAACAACTCCCTTGATGGTACACAGTCTCCAGGGTTGGAAGAAAGAAAACAGGCTCATGAAAGTCACAGGCGTGCAGAAAGGTCTTCATGGCCAGGTGCTACCAATTCTGATGGACATACTTTGCGAACACTTGAAGACTACGATGACAAGTTGTATTGGTCAGACTCGGCGGAAGATCACATGGACCTGAGTCAAGATACACTGAGCAAAGCAGAGGAATTAGCAGAGGAGTTGTATAGAGATGCAATGGAGATGCACGAAAGGTTGTCCGCGGAGGCTGATATGCAAGCCGCATTTACCGCATTGAAAGTCTCTGGGAAAGGATCACATAATTTGATTGCAGAAACCAAGGAGACTTGCGGTACTATAATGTTCTCAAATAGCCATGTCCAGAATGGAAGTTATGGGATGCTACCTTCAGTGTTGATTCAGACCGACAAAAGTGAATCACGCTCCATATCATTCTCGCAAACGTCACAATGCAGTAGTGACGCACCAGGAAGTGCCCTGGGTCCAACGGAAAGCGCTCAACTTGAAAAAATGGTAGCAGCAGCATTGAACTCCAGAAGTAAGGCAAACCAAAGTGCAGGATCACCACAACTGAATGTAGAGAAGGGGGAAAATATCATCATTGGCGACCATATGATAAAGACCTTTGATTACCAGGATAGTGGCAAGGATGGGGACATTAGGACAGTCCAACAAGAGATGAACAAGCTGAGAGAGAGCAACGCGAGGAAGCAGCTGAAGATCGATTCTTTGCAGAAGTGGAGAACTTATTATAAACTGGAGCTGGAAGACAGGGACCGGAAACTGGAGCAAATTGAGAAGGGATATGCAAAAGAATTGAAAAAGAAGCATAAATCTATTAAACAGATGGTAAAAGCACATGCGAAGGGTATTGCAGATCTAGACGCCAAACGTGATGAATTGGAAGATAAACTGAGAGGAGAGATTAAAGGACTGAACCTAGTGATAGAAGAGCTCAGTGGACAGTTATATGATATGGAGGAGCATCTTGCAGCCGGGGGAATTCCATACAAGCTGCATATGAGTGAGAACACAGGGCCCTCTTCCAAAACTCTTTTATCTGCTGTAATTGGTGTGAAAGAGGCTGCACACACTTTCTCTAGAACGTTCATGTCCTACCTTAAGCAGCATTTATCGAAAGCTCGGGATTTAGATGAACAAATTTGCTTGGAGTCTGAAGTTATCGTGGCACGGCCTTCCGACTATAAGTTCCTAGTTCAGTCTTTCATCCTCCGCAGGATGTTCTTAGACTTTGACAGTGAATGCTACAACATCGACAGCTGCATGACCGAAATCTTTGACCTTGAGGAGCAGTCTAAAGCATGCTTTCAAGAGTACAATACATACACAAATGTTGCGGATTCAGTTACGTTGCTAACAGACAATCGACCCCATAATGTTTTCCTTCGCGAGTTCTGTTTCAAAAAGTTCTTGCACATAGTCAGCGAGTCGACAGAGGAAGCTTTTTTTGGAGATTTCAGCCACAGCGACGAGATCTGTGCTGGTCGACATCCGTCGAGCAGGTTTTATGAGAGTTACTGCAAGCTTGCTGTGTCCGTGTGGCTGCTTCACAGGCTAGCATTTTCCTTTCAACCACCAGCCAGAATGATTTCTGTGCGCAAGGGTGCTCAGTTTAACCCGACTTACATGGAGTCCGCTGTGCCCGGCATTTCTAGCGATGCCGACACTGATCAATCTGCACTTCCATTTGAAGCACTTGTGGGGCTTATGGTTCATCCAGGTTTCAGAGTGGGAAGCAGCATTATTCGTGCTCAAGTCTACTTGGTGACCACATAGTATTGGTCTTAAACTACGCTTTCAATTACGTTTCTCGGTGTGAACATACGCATCGACCACAAAGTCGGCTTTCCAAATATGATGAGTGCTGAAAGGTATGGCGCTACAGATGGGGCCGATGCACTGAAAATTGTTGTTGTATCCGGGTTGCTCTCTTGGTGACCTATCGAAGGGATCTTGGGAGGTGGTTATCTTCGTTTATTTGTCTACGATCAGCATAGGCACTTGAGTCGCTGAGAAATCATGCGCAACCTAATCCATTCAGCAGTGCATGTTCGTAAAGAAGCTGACACATGTGATGCTTTGGAAAACCTTAGAGCTGTGAAGGTGAGGCCCTGATCCATTTGACATACTGTAACTGTTTAGTGTTCTTGTGAAGTTTGAAAATGATCGATCTAATTGTATTCACTCATTCTAATTTTACCTAACTACCTTCTGGCAGGTTCTGGAATCTAAAATCGAGGAAGGAAGTATGATTGATTGTTGAAGATCCAATATGATATTTGCTTCAACGATTCAGTCGCATTGTGGAGTGCATTATCTGGCCCCGATCTCTTCTCATCTAGTATCCAAGTTCCAGCTCTTTCAGGGACTGGACTGATGTACATGTTATTGTACATATCCGTGATCAAAGCAAGAGCTCGCGAACGAATGAAGTGTACGAAACAGGTGAAGGATAGCAACTTGGCAACTGGAAATCAAACCTTACTCATGACCTAATATTGGTCTCGCAGCGGGGAAATGCCATTTGAATGCTGCTTTAGAACAAGAAAACAAGCGAATCCTTATTGAGTTCGAAGGTTGTAGGGATCGTTTTACTGAACCTATCAAAGGCGGGTATCTTTGTCAATTACTTCATGCCAAAATTGAACAATCTCAGATGTGAAGGAGGATTCTGGCTTTATAACGTCTACAAATGATTACTCCAGCCTTGGTGTCACCTCTTGCTACAAATGCAACGTTGAAGCTATTTGGGCACCGTTTTTAACTCCAGGGAATTTAGGTAGTAGCAGATGTGGCTAAGCTAGAAAAGAATCAGTAATAGAGTGCTCTTCTGAAGGCTGAAAGGAGGTACGGAATCGCCGAAAGCTTATTGTGCACTGGGTTCCTGTCTTTGCTTCACCTTCAAAGTATGCAGTCCCGACCTACCATTGTTTGTGTGTGATTGAGCCGCCAATAGGATGCCGCATTATTCTTCAAAAGTTGTACGGGTCTTACTTTCAAAACTTAGTAGATAGGAGATAAAAATTTGTTTTGGAAGTAAGACCTGTACAACTTTTTCCACTTTAACTTTCATTTTTGTTTAAGCTTTAACAAAGATGAAACCTAAAGTGGACAAAAATTACATATTACTCATCAAACGTAGAGATGGGTCAACCTGGAATCCATGATGTACTTTTGAAGCGAGCCAATCCGTGTATCTTCAAGGTAGCCTTCTCCAATTTCTACCATCAATGGAATTATCTCTGACACTGTCGTAACTTGCTCAATATTACAAAATTTTGACCTGAATATTTTGAAATCTCATAGTCGAGTGCAATATAGTGATATAATCCTTGCTAATCAACTCTCTCTCTCTCTCTCTCTCTCTCTCGCTCTCTCTGTATATATATATATATATATATATGTATGTGTGTATGAGAGCGAGTGGGAGTAATACAATGTGTTATTTGATGTAACTTGGATTAGTTGTGAAGTTGCAGTTTGTAATTGCACAATGTTCCATTGATAGGTAATACACTGTCTAAGCAATGTAAAAGGACATTTGTAACAGGAACTTCCTTAACTTTAAGCATTGTGGTATTTCTGATACATAAATGAAGTAACAACTTGAAGATACAACAAACAATCAAATAAAATATGAAAACTTGTGTACTGTGTTGAATTTTTATACCAATTTTTATTCCATTTTTCAATGTTTGTTTTCTTTATATGGTAATTATAACATAAAAGTAAGGCTAATTCTTTAAATCTTGATGACTTCCTAGTATGACAACCAAACCCTATAAATAAACAATAATGGCAACAATATCCAACAATTAGGAAATGTTTTACTAATCAACTATGTTAACAAAAATAAAATTTTAAAAAGAAATATATATAACTTTAAGTTTTAAAAAATAAAATAAAAATTTCTTTTACTAAAGTAAAAAATTTTGAATTTGAATATAAAAAAATTGCCACTTACAGAATCTAGGCTTTTTTATACCACAAGATGTAAAAAGAATTACAAGAATATGATGCTTGAAGGAAAGTTTTCTTTATCATAGGTTTTCTAATTGAAAGTTTAAAAGATAATATTCGATCAAGTATTTTATATAAAATAGTTGGATACTTACATATTTTGAAGTTAAATATTTTTCTAAAGTGGGCGTTTTTATTCAAATGCAAAGTTTTATATTTTATTAAAAATCTTTTTGGAATTCTTAAGATCATTTTACTTTTATGGTGTTTTTAAAATTTTAATTTTAGTATAAGAAGATATTTTTATCTACTTTTAAATAACTTTGAAATTATGGAATAATTAATATTTAGAATTTTAATTTTTTTTAAAAATTACTGCCAATAATATGCATTTCTTGTTTACACACATAAAAATAATTCAAATGGCTATAAAAGAAATATTGTTTTAAGACAATTTGATTCTTCATTGCAATAAAAAAAATATATATATAGTGGCCAATTATAAACCAAAAATTCTTTCAAAACTCCAACATCATCATATCAAAATTTTAATTTTTTTGTAAATTCAAAACATCTTTTTACCATATAAAATTTTAGTGTATATATATATATATATACATATATATATACATATTCCTTTAAAATATGTTTTTTAGGAAGTCTTGAGTTTCAAACTAAAATGTGTGACATTTCAAAAGTATTAATAATTATATAATCTCAATCAATAAAAAAAACTTGATACTTGAGGAACCTGGTGGAAGGGAGGTCCATGCTCTCGTTATGAACTTGGACGAACGAAGTCATGTTTGGTTCAGGGCCTGGATGGATGACCTCTATTTTTTTGTCCTGGTAGGATGGATGGACGCATGGATGGGAGGAGTCCACTGGGTTGCTGTTTACAATACAATGTGGTTGTTGGTGCACGAAACCGAAGTGTCTCAACCATCCGTCCATCCATACATCCATCCACACATCCATCCAGGGGATGGATAGCCCATCCCATCCAACCACACAATGCCTCGGCATCGGTGTGACTGTCTGGCCTGAAGGACCGAATCCTCGCTTCGCATCGCTCTCTCGCAGTAACTTCTCAGCCTTTTCTCGCGCTCGCTCGCTGAATGATCCTCCGCGCCTTGTCGCTTACATGACGACGCTTCTCTCTCTTTGGTAAGAGCATCATTCATTGGAGCCGAGGTGATCCGTAGCTGCTTTGTGATGACATCAAGTCTACTCGGAGGCTTCGCATAAACAGTAGGTAAGTGTTTGCAGTTAGGATTGAGTTGCAGGTTGGCTTGCTTTGTCAAGTTCTGGAGCAGCAGCACTTGTACTTGGCTCTGTACCATGTGATTCTCCGACTTTGTTTTTCTAGACAGCTACCAGTTTGAGTTTTGTTTGTTTTGTGTGTTGGCAGCGAGGAGCTTCGTGTGCATCTCTGGAATCGTCGGCCGACTTGACGTTGCACTTTTGCTCGGAGCCCAATTGGCGCGCTGGATGGTGGTGGGAAACGTGGGAGCATCGTCTTGTTTTTCAGGGTTTGTCTGCAAACCCTAACTCACGAAGTTGGTGTTTTGTTTTATCCACTTGCGATCGTCATTGCCCTTTGCTGTATGGTCCGTCGTGTTGGTCTGAGGTTTCGAGTATGAAGTGGCGAGTTCGCGAGTTCCCTTTTTCAGTTCTAGCTACTGTGTGTGTTTTGTCGGTTTCATCTTTTGTCCCTGCGAAAGTACAAACGAGATTTCTGGGTGCTCAGACCACTCAATATCAAGCTTCTAAAGCGTTTTTTGGGGAATTTGTCTAGTCGGATTCCGATAGAATTACAGATGTAACATGGGAGGAAGTGCATGCTATTTTCATCGGCTAGCCTATGTTGTCGTCAAGAAAAATTTAAAAACACTTCAGTTGTGAAATTGTCGTGATGGAGGTTTTCTTTATACACCACTTTAGACGGAGTCAGTAAACCAACTACAATTTTGTGATGTGTTCTGATTTTCGGTTGCGCAAAGATGGATTGGAGTGAATATGCTCACAAGTGAATCATTGATGAAACCAGTTCTAGCGGCTCTTGTATTGATCAATGGTACAAGTGTTCATAGGTATTGTTTTTGTTAGGATGTGGTACATCTAATTTCTAAGACTAACCTTTAGATAAGTAGAGGTAGTAGGAGTGTGGTCAAAGTTAAGTTTTTAGAGAAAGTAGCATTTTTTTGGTATCTTAGTTGGTTGAAATAAAAAAGTAAAAAAATTATAAGATGTCTGAAATTCATTTTTATTGAATGGGTAGAAGGAAGTTATAAATAGAGGTTTGTGCAAGTTATTTCATAAAAAGCTTGTTGTATTGTTTCTTGGAATTTTAGATGTTATTTGTTTGATTATATTTTGAATATCAAAAGGATAAATGAATTAATATTATGTTGCATGTAAATTTGTAGAGTATACATTTGCCTTGTTATTGAAGTGTTTTAGTCATGTATTGAAGTGTTTGAAAGTGGATGTATTAGGATGGTGGTCATTTAAGATTAAGGGCTATGATTTAAGTTCTAAGGTGAGATAAAGTTGGAAATTGTATTTAATTTTAGTAAAATTTGCATTATTAGTATAGATTGGAAATAGTTTAATAGAAAACATGGAAGGATTAAGTGAAAGTAGTAAGATTATTTAGGCTTGAAGGTTTAGTCTTTGGATTTTAAGTTTAGTTTATAAAATACAAAAGTATTTGATTGGTGATGCAATGTAGATAAAAAAGAGTAGTAAATATTTTGAAACACATAAGAAATGTAATGTGTATATGTTGATGTATAGTGATAGGGGGAAATTAAAAGAAGTAATTCTTCAAAGCATAGTTTTTGGATTTAATGAAGGAGTCTTTACAAAAGATGCAAATATTTGTATCAAGTTTATATAAGCAAAGTTTATTAGCCAACTTGGAACAAAATGATCATATACAAGATATTGGCACAATATCAAATAGTTATGCAAAATATTGGCACAATATCAAATAATTATGCAAAATATTGGCACAATATCAAATATTTAAGGTATTGGAAGAGATTTATAGAAAGAATGTCAAGTGCATATAAGAGAGATGGAGGTTTTATTGAAGAAAAAAGACATCTTGAATAGAAACTAATGTGCAAATCTATATAAGAACATTGAAAATGTTATGAAGATGTTTGATTGCTTTTGGACATGCAACAATGGATTAGAGTATTAGCTTTTATTAAGCAAGTTATGTTTTGTATTGAACAAGCTTATTTATTAATAAAGAATTGTAGAAAAAGAAATTGGTGTGAAGTATCTATATTTCAAATGAAGAACAAAGAAATGTTAAGAGAACTAGTTTAGGATTTGAAGCATTATTGTAATATGCTTATAAAGTACAATCCCAACAAGTTTAAAGACAACATGTGTGGTACTTTTGATGTTGCAACTTGGGATGAAGTAGAAGGTGATGAAAATTATTTGTATGAGAAGTTGATCTTTGAAATTGAAGAATCTTTTCAAGAACATGGATTAAAACATCTTTTGCAAAGATGGAAAGACTTGCATTACATGGAAGTTAGGAAATTCAATGCTTTAAAACTACCATCAAATATGAAAAATCTTAAAATCATGGATTCTTTTGGTAAAGGATCTTTTAGAAAAGTTTGCAAGGCAAAGTGGTTGAGACTTGATTGTGTAGTTAAAAAGATGGATGTTGGACACCTTGAGTTATTTATTAAAGAAGTGGCCATTCTAGCAAGTATAAGCCATCTCAACTTGATTAAGTATTTTTTTGCAATAGAAGGTGATGCAAATGAAAAAAAATAAATAGTGACAACTAAAAGCAAAAAAAAAAACAAAAGAATTATACTTGGAAATAGAATTGATGAAAACAAGCTTAAGCAAGTTGGTTAAAGAAAGTGGAGAATTATCTTACATTTTTTTAATTGATGTTATGCATCAAATTGTAAGAAGGATGTATTACTTGCATGACATGTACATTGTACATCATGATCTGAAGCTTGACAATATTTTTCTTAATATAAAAAAGAAGAGAATCTCAAATGAAAATTTTCAACATGTTATTGTAAAAGTGATAAACTTTGGAATATCTAAGATTGAAGTTGGAAGCAATCCAAAAGCTTCAATAGATAAGAAGGTGTATGGTACTCCAAAATATATAGCTCCTAAGGCATTGAAGAACAAATCTCAAATAATGACAATGTGTCATTTTGAAGCAGATGTTTATTCATTTGTAATGCTATATTGTAAGATGCTCTCCAAAAAGATCCATTTGATGGTGCCTTTACGACAACAAAGATATTAG